TCGTTGAAATTGTGGGAGAACATTCGGTAACTGCCCTTCTTGAGCCTTGCCAGCCTGTGAGAGGGATCACTGAGATAGGTTTCCCAGTTCTTTTGGAATTGTATCAGCTCCAGTATCACAAGGAGCTCCCCTTCAGCCATCCTGTGGAGAGCGTTGCCTGCAGCCCTACAGGTACACCCGTAACTCAAGTCTTAAAATCCACGTGCCAACATCCTCTAAAGTCCACGTGTAAACCTAACTCCGTGGTCTTTGACCTTTCTGGTTGCCTAGAGCCGCTTCGGGAGGCATGTCTCACTTTCTCTTCTTTGCTGGTACTGTGTGAGCATTCCTCCTCCTTTGCTAGCCAGAGGCACAAATTCTCCGATCGCCACCTCGTAAGAGGGAAGGACTTATATAAACTGCAGGTCCCACTTTGGGGTCCTTGTAAGAAGCTTTTTCACTAACTCTAAACCCAAAAGGCATGTAATGTATGACAGCACATGGCACATGACATGCCTAGGGAAGTTCTCAAACCCTAAACTTGAAATCCCAAACCCTAAACCTTATGTATGCATATATATATATACACGCACTTATTTCCTACTTACCCCCCAGTATGTTAGTCTATACCCAGGGAAGTCCTTCGTAAATGTTGTTGCGAGAGGCTTCTCCGCAGCAGAGGACGAGAAGTGGAGCCAACTCCGCTGCAAGGCCCGAAAGGTTTTGTTTGGGGTAGGGTTAGGATTTGGGGTTTGGGTTTAGGATAGAGCTCAGGGTTTAGGATGCAGGGTTTAGGGATGAGCGTTAGGGGTTCAGGCTAAATTGGATTCCATTAGGGTCTTCCAGAAGCTAACATGGAACCCTCGGTGTCGAGGTTTTGGGTTGTGGGTTTAGGCTTTTAGGATTCAGGGCTTCGAGGGTTTAGGGTCTTCTCCCAACTAACACAGAACCCCTCAATAAGGTTGTTTGATACTTTGTGTTGGTAATATGTTGCAGTTTTCCTTGAATCTTCTTGATGGTCGGGGACATGGACGGAGAAGAGCCAGGGACTTTCCTGTTGGTGGTGGTACAGGATAGTACCGGGTACTGGGATTGACTGCGTTATGCTTCTGGAATTCATTGGGGGTGATGGTGGGGCACAACTCCCATTACTTGCTGCTGCAGGGCCTTCCCAGCAGAGCTGAGAGGCGCATGGGGCTTGGTAGGAACATTTTTTTTGCTTTTTATCGCGGGTCCGCCCTTATGACTACAACCTGAGCTAAACAGAGATCCAAGCACCCGTGGAGACAGATATTTCACCAAAAAACAGATTTTCACGCCAACATCGCAATGCCTTTCCGAGACTATCCCTACAATTCAGTCCATCCCCGCTGTGCTTGCAACCGCTGTGCCTGTAACCGCGGGCGGGCCTTGTATGCATCTGAGGGCTCGCGCGGAATGCGGCTCGTTCTGAGTTGCTTCCGGAAAGGGTCCGTACCCCGCTTGGTCATCTCATCATCGTCATCACCATCATCATCATCATATCATTGGCATCAGCATCGTCCTGTCCCTCCTTGTCCCTTACGACATTGCATTTTTTCATCATTAACATCTTCATTGTTGTCGCGCCCGCCGCCGCCGCCGTCACCACCACCATCGCCATCATCACGAGTATCCTCATCGTCGTCACTGTGTTCACACTGTCATCATCATCACCTCCTGCACCAACATCACTAGCCCGGGCCTAATGGTCCGCTAGGGGTGTAGAAACCTCGGTCCGTTCTTGTTCCTTGCATTAGACGAGTCTGACTGGTTGATGTAGATACGTGGTTTCTTGTTGAGGTATGGGCAAGCTATCAGGACCTTCTGAAGCCATGTGAGTTGCTTTGAATGCTGTGCCGATTGCGCTTTCTTAATGTGATTATGGCGGTTAGCCGCAGTGCCCTTTTTCTCCATCACCGTCGTCACAGTTGGTTTCTCGTGGTCACGAGCCTCCGTTTTATCTCCTAAAGTTTCAGCCCCATGCAGAGGTCCCAGCAACAAGAAAATCCTGCAACCCAAACCCCCAAAATTCCCCAACCCCCCCTAATCCTCTCCTAAATTCCCTAAACCTCCTAATCCCCCCAAATCCCAAACTCGTAATTTGGACACCTCCCTTCTCGTCATCCCCATTGTTTTGCTTGGTTCCCACCCACAGCATGTCAGGCATCTCCCGCTGCGCAGCCACCGCCCCTCGGGCGTGCAGGGGGCAGCAGGGGCTGTTTGTGAAGCATATGGGGTTGTCTCAAGATGCGGAGACCTTAGGATTGGGAACCCTGTAACAGGGAAGCATCGGGATGGATAGGGTTTATGGTTCAGCAGGTGGGGTTGAGGGTTCCGGTTTCGTCTCCAAATGGGGCTTCGAGGGTCCCTATCAAGGAAGCTGTTATCCCCCCATTCTAGGCATAGAGGGTTGCAGTAAAGGCTTCTCAAGTTTGCAGGCTGCTTCTGGACATATGTTCGTTGTGTGTACGTTCTTCACATATGCGGGCATTCCAAGCTTGAGAAACAAAGGACCTGAGTGTTTCGCAGGCTTCTCCGCACTTTCTGTGAACTTTGCACATCAGACCTCAGTGAAGTTCCGAACCAATTAATCCCCTCCCGAATCCCCCCATAACATATATTCTAATTGTGATAGGGGACTTCGGGACGACTGATAGCGGCCTCAGCATTGTCCTGTGATGTACCATGATATATTCTGCGTAGTTAATATTTCGGGGGGGGTGGGGGGTGTCAATGTAGGGGGAGGGGTACAAGCGGAATCAGTGGAGGGCACAGGAGGTCTCTGGGTTGACGTGGACTAGCAAGCCAAGAGTTTCAAACCCCAAGTAAAACCCTAAACCCTAATCCCTAAATCCTCAACCTAGGACTCGGAGCCCTACCTCCATCTAACTCACCTCACCGATTTTACTCCCTAAGCTCAACCTGTGTTACCCCTCATTAGCTTCCTGGATGATCTAGGTCAACTGCTTTACATAGTCCTGTGTGGAAATCATGGGAACCCTTGCATGCGGAGTCCATATCAGTGGGCAGGATGGCAAGACCTCAAGCCCCAAGCGGCAAGCCTCGAATTTTCACAAGCCAAGTCCTGAACCGGCACACCAACATGTTTATGGAGCCTGCAATGTCACCAATCTCGCCTTATTTTATTCGCTTTTATCCGTTAAGGCCCTCAACTGCCACTGCATTCCCTATCGTCCAGTCTTCACTAAGGGTTGTGAAGCCTGAAGTCCGCCGTCCCAGCGTGATGCCGGTGCAGGCTGCTTCTGTCAATTTCTGTCGGGCTTTACAGCACCTTTCATTTATGGATTCTGTCGGGTTTGTACAGGCTTTTCATAGAGCTTGCGTGCCCCAACGGGGGGTCTCCTTGTTACTTGCTATAGAGGCTTATGAGAAAGACAGTTAGGTTGACAGGTACAGAAAAATCAACTTCAGGATGACAAAGGGTTTATGGTTAGGGTTTAGGGTTTCCTATTTGGTGCTTTTCAGGCATGGGGGTCCCCTTACATACTCCCAAAGTTTGGGGACTCATTGGATTGCAAGTCCATGTATTGCTGGGATGTAAGGACCTTTGCCCTCCAAGTAGGGTCCCTAGTCCTCTTCTTCCGTCTCCTTGTCAGAGTCGCAACAATCGTACTAACAGCGATGATAGTAATTATAGTAGTAGTTATCCCAGCAGGACTCGTAGTACTAAAGGTAATAATGCTGAAGCCTTCCCAAATCAATGCAATCATGAACTGGCATTTGTGATTTTTCTTGGCAACTTGATTGTCCATCATCCCGAAACCTGTAGTATCCCTGTATATTACATACGTAACCCCTATAAAACCTATGTGTACGTACATACTCCCTATAAAGCCCTTTATCTGGGGTTAGACGAAGGCCCCCCGCTTTGCTGCCTGCGGCTTTGAGGCGGAGGCCCTGGCAGTCAGCGGAGTTTTCGGTGCTTTAAGTTTTAGGGTTTGGGGTTTAAGGTCCCCATATTAGTTGGCTGGTGCTTGCAGTTCTTGGAGGTCCAGGATACCAGAGCCCAATTCAAACTGCGGTTACAACTTCCAATCAAACCTTACCATACGTAGGGGCCTTTGAGGTATAATATTTACTAGACCATAATCGGATTGTATTTAGCCTGGCCCTCATGTATTCGCCTTCCTTGGCTTCCACTCAGAATGGATCGGCAAGCGCACTTGTGGCCGATCCCATCCGGGAATCCACACACTCTCAAAGAAACTTAATTGATGCAATGGATGTTTGGCAAGGCATGCAGAGTGGTTTTTGAGACACCACGAAGTTTCCAAAAAAAAATTACGAGGCCTGCCACAAGGAATCTTGGTTTTGGGTATTCTCTGGTTCTTTTCTTTGAAGATGGTTCTAAACGGGCAAGCGGGGAATGCGTCGGGCCTACGGACGCTGCAGCTGACATGTTTTGTTCAGGGCCTTGTTTCGTGTCCAGGTTATTGCCGTCCAAGGTTCTCCTGTTACACCCGCACATGCCCCCTTAGTCATCAAGCTAGTGCACCACAAGCTGAAGGGTTGCCGAGTGTCTGTTTGTTCATGTTCCTCAAACCCTAAACCCCAAACCCTACCTGCTGAAGTAGCTTCTGGAAGGTATCCGAGCTCCTCGCTACGCTGCAGCCGCATCTTGGAGACGAATTTCGATGCGCTCTCAACCTCAGTGCATGCCTGGCCTTTGTACAAGCTTTGCTATGAGATCATCAGGATGTGGGGTCCCACTGGTCGCATGCTATTCCCCAAGAAGCAATCCTCGAAGTTTTCAGGCCAAATCCAATCAGCAGTGCCAGTGAAACTCAAAGTGGTGCCCAGGCGTCTACAGTTTTGTATGAAGCAATGATGATCCGAACAGCTAGCGGCTAAAGCATGTGCTACAAGACTCTATAGGTTCGTAGGCAAGCTGCATTTCCAAGTAGCGTGGGGTCCAAACATCGTAGTACAGGGAGCTTACAAGTCCACAAACCCGTCAGCGCACCTGCATCTCATCCAAGGAACGACGCAAGCCGTGCACAAGTCCAGGCTATTGCGAGGCACCTCGTAAACTTTGATCTCAGCTCTTTCATCTTTCAGCCTATGGTGTCATGCATACACTCTGCGCATACAGCACCACACAGCGGACCATCAGACCCGGAGGTCAGAATCAGGTCTGTGAGCCGCATGTACTGAGTCTTCTACCATCATCTCGTCCATGCATTGCCTGAGGCCTTCTTTTAGTTCGAAGAGCTTGAGCCAAGAATCCAACCTGCTCAGCTTTGCAAAGCCATGACATCTAGATCCCCTCAAACGGGGACGACTCCAGCTTTGATATGGGGCATTGCAGGGGTACCTTTACAGGGCCTCCATAACCAGGATTGTAGTTTTTTAGGGTCCATATTGGGGTCCCCTTGTTTTAGGAAACTACCATATCCCTAACCCCAAAACCCTAAACCCTAAACCCCAATACCCTAAACCCAAAACCCATAACCCTAAACCCTAAACCCAAAACCCATAACCGTAAACCCTAAACTCTAAACCCATAATCCTAAACCCTAAACCCTAAACCCAAAACCCATAACCCTAAACCCTAAAGCCAATCGCTCAGTCCCGACAGGGCGGTGCACCGAGCTCTGGCCACCGCCTTGCCGGGTGCAGCCGTGGAGGCTTTCGCCACGGCAAACCCGGCACCTTGGGCTGGGCAAGAAACGTAAAGGGAGTATAGGGGTTATATAGGGGTTATAGGGGTTATATAGGGATTTTATAGGGATTATCTGGGGTTATATAGGAGTTACGTGCGGATAATGGAAAAGAAAATGAAAACTACTATTTAGGGTTTAGGGTTTTAAGGGTCAGGGTTTCCCAAAATTAGGGATCCCCTGTTGGGGCGGTCCCCACAAGAAGGATTATAGTATTTTGGGGTCTATATTGTGGAAGCTACTAAGTAGGTAGCACGGTAGGGTTTGTAAAAGGCATCATGATGAGTTTTATCAGTAGTGTTCATATGTGTTACAGTAGGGTCTAGAGGTGACTTGGGGATCCATATGGTTTAGAAATTTGTGATAGGATATTGGAGCTGACATTAGGCCCCTTAGTTTTGAGGGTTAGGCTGTAGGGTGGGAGAGTGAATGCAGTTTTGGGCCATACAAGGATTTTCATCGAGATCCGCTCCGATTACTCCAGTAAGGATATAGTGGTGACGGTTGTGTGCCCGGGGGGGGGGGTATTGTGTTGGTTGTTGTTTTCCTGTTCATGTTTGTACACAGCAACAACAGTTGTCATCATGACGATGATTATGCTTATGACTCTATGACTGTCATGGTCATTGTGTGTTATTGTCGTGGCAGCACTCGCAGGAATCTGATGAAGGCTCTCACGAGGTGGTTGGGTGCGGCGAGCATATCGGATTTCCTGAGTTCTGATGACTGTTGGGAGAGCTCACCCGGGCCCCCCAATTAGGAAGAAGAGCCAACATTCCTGAGCACCCTGCGCCAAGTTTGCCTCGCGTGAAGTCCACCCTCAAGGTTTGATTCTCAAACCATTATTGCAGCTTGTGAGGCAGGTGGATCCTTGGTTTTGCTTTGGCAAGTAACCCAGTACCACTCAGCTCTGGTCTTCGAAAGACTATTCAGAAAAAACGGGATTCCATTGGTGCAATGTTGGAAGAATCCGGACCTGACTAAAAGTAATGAGTACTATTCGTAGTATTCTTGCTATTACTATTATTCTTGCTTGGACTAAGCTCCGCAAGCCTTCAACTCCTCGAAAGACCCCAAGGCCTCACATCATTGGACGACCCGCAGCGCGTTCTTGACGGTTTCTCTGTTTTGCCCCTGTTGGATAGGCAGCTCTCTCTGCAATAATAACAAGAAAAGTAATAGAAATAATAGTAACAATGATAATAGTAATGCTAGTAATTTCGTAGTAAAAACAGTAATACAGTAATATCCCTCATCCCAATGGTGAAGCTTCCCCACCCAAGGTGTCTGGAACCGCTTTTGGAGTGGCGGTTCCAGAGGTCGAGGTTGTGGTCACGCTGGATGCCAAGGTTCGTGTTTGGGGGGTTTACCACTGGGCATAGAGGGTGAGGAAGCAAAGCAGCAGTTCAGGGTTTGGGTTTTTAGGGTTTAGGGTTGAGGGTTTAGGGGTTAGGGTTCAGGGTGAAACGCACGCACTGGAACGGAATTCAGTAAGGGAGGCGTGAAAGCTACTTAGAGCCTCGAAGCCCCAAACCAGGCCCTACCGACTCGAAGGCTCAGAGCCCCAAATCTACCTGTAGTCATATAGTCCCCCTTAAGTAGATAGAACAGGGGGTTTTGAGGGTCTCGACAAAAAAGGGTTGTCGTAGTTTGGCGTCTATAGTTGGGTCCCCCTATTTGGGGAAAGAACCAGAGCTAACGTCCATTAGTAGAAGTCCTGCTAAACCCTGCCCAAGAGGCTCAAGATGATATGCCCCGGATTTTGATAAATTGCCATGCTTGGGATTCCATGGGCCCCTCGCTAGACCCTAAACCCTAAACCCCAAACCCTACACGGCGCTGTGTCGAGCCCTTTTTGGAGGGTCAGGGGGACTTAGTGAATATTCTTACAACCCTTTTGATTAACATACTTGCCCCAGTCATTCCCTAGCTTAATCTACTTTCTAAGTCCCCTGACCCTAAAGTTGTCCCTAAACTCGAAACCCTCAATAAGATAGTAGTCTTCATATTTCTACTCCTCAATATAATGCTATGGTATTGGAAGCCAACACTATTTATATATATATACATATGTCCAAATATGACCCTCCAAGTACGAGTCAACAGACTGTGCTGGTGCGCCAGGTGGCCTCCAGCGAGGGCGGCAAACTCCAAAAGTCGATGATCCGCACCTGCCGGGGCCTTTGAGGTTGGTGGTTTAGGGGTTTAGGGGTTTAGAGTTCTGGGGTTTGGGTTTTCGGGTAAAGGGTTTAAGGCCTGGGGATTAGGGTTTAGGCTTTCGCGTCTAGGTTTTGGGATTAGGGCTTAGGGCTTGGGGTTTAGAGTAGAAGCCTGAATGGTTACCAACTTATTCCTTCATACTCCGTAGCTGTAGTATAAGATATTTCCGAACACACATGGACCCCTACATCAAGGGGTTTCTGGTCTGGGATTTAGGGTAAGAGGTGTAAGGCTTCCGGTGGCAGAGACGGGGTTAGGTATAAGTCGGTATGAGTCTTGAGGATTGGGGGCTAGAGTATGGGAATACGTCCAGGGTTTCTGGTCTGGTGGGGTACATGGAGTTTTCTATTGTGGTGACTGGAATATTCGTCGAGGTGCTATCATGTGGGTACTTTGTTGCTTGTAGCGTGTGCACGGTCTGTTTGAGGATTGCAGCATGAGTGCTACTGTATGAAGAGGCGAATACCACGGCTGTTTGCAAGGTTGCGGCATCATTGGGGCCCTGCCAGGGAAGGGCGTGCATATCTCTTTCGCAGCGTAGGTATGTGTGTGCCATGCAAACGTGGCCATGCGTGGAGACCAAGCTACCACGGAGTTGCCAACTGTTTGACATGTCTTGGGTGCACTGGCTGCGATATGCCTTATAATCTAAGGTACGGATCGCCTCGTTTCCCAGGGCTCCTTCAAGTTCAGGCGGGCAGGTGTTAGAGCCATGCCAGTTTTTGCAGCATGCCCGTGGTACCTGTATTGATTGTGGGATGGCCCAATTGTAGGAATCTTTTGCTTCGTGGGCTGTGTGTGTTGAAGAGGGTGTTCAATGAGTGTACTGTGATGCTCACAGGATCTTGTAGACCTTCGCGTGAGGCGAAAGGCTTTCTGAGCCGTGTTTCTTTCAAGAGGCTTTGCAATTTGGCTGGCTGCATGATTGGTTTGCAGTATGTCCCTTTCCTTGGGGTTGGTGATGTCGGCACGCATTTGTACGATTTCTGGCTTCTACGGGGACTGCCCGTGTATGTACGGTTTGAGTACAGACCGGAAGAGCTTGGTTCACAAGGGCTTCGGGTGCAGTATTTGGACGGCTTGCTGCAATTGGGGGCCTAGTATGTAGTTGGACCGTTTGTCTGGTAACAAAGAGCATCCACCCTCAGTCTTGCGGTGCGCACTTAGGCTACTGCTACATTCAGGATTTTGAGTTTCATGCTCTGCCTAGACTTCGCAGCTAGGCAGTCCGAGCTTCTGATTTCTTCTGCTCAGGGTTTGGGTCATGCTTGCATCTCAGGCTCCTTGCAACTCTTCAGTCATCAGAATGCTCAGTCATCTGAATTTGTGGTGGCTGAAGCCTGTAAAAGGCCTTCACTCATCTCTTTTTTTTCGTTGCGCTGGAACCTAAGGTGAACAACACAAGCCCACAGGTCCTGGTTCCCAAAGCATCTCGAAGCCCATCACCCAAACCCTGAACCGAACCCGACCTCGAGACCGAACCCGGGATGGAACCCCCGAAGCCACTCCTATGTTGTTTAGGGTTTAGATGTACTGTTTAGGGTTTGGGGTTGTGAGCTTTGTCTGCCAGGTTTCCAGCGGTAAATACATTCTAAACTGAGAAGCTTTTTGGCCAAATCATTCAAGCGACCATCATGTGAGTCACACCAGACCCGGAAGCATGAACAAAGACCTTCTAGAAAGGAATAGTCTTCAGATCCCTACAGACTAGTCCAGAGTTCTTCGAGCGCAAAATTGCATGTTGTCCATCGTCCTGTACGCCCTGCACCCCAGAAACCTTACACCCTAAATAGTAGTTTCCGTTTTCTTTTCCATCATCCCTTTATAGCCCCTATAAACCCCAATAGAATCCCATAACCCCCATATAACCCCTATAAAACCCTATAAAACCCTATATAACCCCTATCTAACGCCTATAAAACCCTATATACAGTGCATCTCCTGCATAAGAAATGGGTCCGCCAAGCGTAGGGTACCCTTCATTTCTTAGCTAGGCAGTGTTTTCGCATTTCCATTATTTCAGAGCCCCAGCTGTTGGGTCCCCTTCACTTCTTAGCCCATTTCTTATTCCGGGGTTCGAGCCCCTTCAGCTTGAGAAGTCTGGTGTTGAGAAAGTTGCCTCATCCATTAGGCCATGGAGCCTCCAACCACAATACGCAATGTAACCGCAACCTAAAAACAAGAAATGCTTATTTTGGTAAGGGGTTTTGGGGTCGTGGAAAACCATCAAAATAAGAAACGTGGCCCCCTACATTTCTTCTTTTAGGGGTTCAAGGGTGGGCGTAGAGGTAGGTGATAGGGGTAGGTGAACCCCCCAAAATAAGAAACGTAGCCCCCTACATTTCTTACTTTAATGGTTTTTGGGTCGTGGATATGAAAACCATCAGAATAAGAAACGTAGCCCCTACACCAAAATAAGAAACGTAGCCCCCTACGTTTCTCATTTTAATGGTTTTTGTGTCGTGGAAAACCATCAAAACAAGAAACGTAGCCCCCTACATTTCTTATTTTAGGGGTTTCAGGGGTGCGCTTAGGGGTAGGGGATAGGGGCAGGTGAACCCACCCAAAATAAGAAACGTAGCCCCCTACGTTTCTTATTTTAGGGGTTTTTGGGTCGTGGAAAACCATCAAAACAAGAAACGTAGTCCCCTACATTTCTCATTTTAGGGGTTTCTGGGTCGTGGAAAACCACCAAAATAAGAAACGTAGCCCCATACGTTTCTTATTCCATGGTTTTTGGGTCGTGGAAACCCATCAAAACAAGAAACGTAGCCACCTACATTTCTTTTTTTAGGGGTTCTGGAAGCCCTTCAGGGCCGAGCTAAATAAGAAATGG